GGAATGTTTTGCCATGTGCATTTCACATGCATATATTTGGTAAGCACATGACAATGTAGTATACAGCCACTGCAACGTCTGGGTTATTTTCAAACTTGATTACAAGACTGCAGGTTTGACAGCAGAGGCAGAGACTGCCGTGATGGTACGCTGTGTATGAGCACCAACAAGACCATAGGGACCAATGGTCATTTTATACATTTTAGCCTGAGTACAGGACTTGTAAACAGATGCTATGTTACCAGCAGCCATATCACCCTGTAACTCAAAACTGGCAACCCACTGAAGCTAAGCAGGTATGAGCCTGGTCAGTACCTGGATGGGAGACCTCCTGGGAAAAACTAAGGTTGCTGCTGGAAGAGGTGTTAGTGGGGCCAGCAGGGGGCGCTCACCCTTCGGTCCATGTGGGTCCTAATGCCCAAGTATAGTGATGGGGACACTATACTGTAAACAGGCGCCGTCCTTCGGATGAGACGTAAAACCGAGGCCCTGACTCTCTGTGGTCATTAAAAATCCCAGGGTGCTTCTCGAAAAGAGTAGGGGTATAACCCCGGTGTCCTGGCCAAATTTCCCATTGGCCCCTAACCCATCTATGAATTGGCTATATTTCTCTGCTCTCCTCCCCACTAATATAGCTGATGTGTGGTGAGCGTTCTGGCGCACTATGGCTGCCGTCGCATCATCATCATCCAGGTGGATGGTACATTGGTGGTACCTGTAAAGCGCTTTGAGTGGAGTGTCCAGAAAAGCGCTATATGAGCGTAAGCAATTATTATATTATGTTCAACAATTAATAGACAGATCCTTATGTCTGTAGGGAGCATTAAGGGACAAGCTCTACTTCATTCATGTTTTTACCACTACTATTGAACCAGTCACCATGAAGTTCTGCACACAGTCTAACAAGGCAACGGAGGTGCTCATGGAGTTAGAAGTAGCGTATACTACCTGCATCATTATAACCTCCCCCATGTTTTCCTGACCAGCCTTGTCACACAACATGGCACCCAATGGACACTCTTGGGGAAGACCTTGGTCACCACAGTGTCTTCAGCAGTTAGAGGATCTTCTTGTCCAGGAGTTGAGCAGGATAACCCAGGAACTCACTCAGACACTTGGGTCAACGAGACAGCTCTGTACAGCCATACAAGATTGGTGGAATAGCTTCTTTTCAGCTGAAGTCTTTCTTATAATTGGTGTGGTAACTTTCAAATCTGAAGACTACTGCAAGTATATTTTTTAGTGAGCTAGAAAATACAGGCCTGACTGACAAATGTAGCCCCATCACTCTCAAAGGCTAATGAAGTCCTTAGGTGCTTTATTAAAGCTGGTCTGTATATAAACCAATGACTGAGACATCAACTTTTTAAACAGAAGAAATAAGCAAGTAAATAAAAACCCTTTGGGAGAAAATTTCTTCCGCAAAAATCTGTCAAGTTTTATTCTTGAAGTTTATTTTGTAACTAAATTCATGATAATGTGCTGCAAAAGGAATCAAGCATTAAAAACAATTACTACAAAGGTAAATTTCTTTTGAAAGGAGGAATCCTGAAAAGATTAATCACAATGACTGCAGATATACCTATTGTTTTTTGTTTTAAGTTATTAATATTAGTGAAACATTTCTACGTTTTTTTATCCTTGGTGGAATTGCTTTAACTCTCTACAGATTGTACAAAGACTACAATAAATTATACATTTTATCTTGTGAACAGTACAAATATTGCTCAAGAATTTCATTCAAATTTCTTAAATAGTTTGGTAACAGTACTTACTGTTCTTACTGTACATGGGAAGTTTTGATGTCTGCCATCTCAGGATCCATCAACAGAATTAGCAGTAGATGTATACTTTGATAACACAACCAAAATGTATATGATAACATTCTGTGATAAAAACAAGCATGATTTTGTTCTGGGGTGTTTCAGATGGTGACAGGCATAGCTTAAACAATCACCTGTGGATTAAGTGGAATAAAAAGTACATGTACCATGAAGGCTTACTGTATTTTTATGCATGTAAACAAAAAGTTGGGGAAATCAAACTCTCGTAAACCTCATTATTATTACTGATTATTGTTGATCACTCATTATTGAGCTGTAATTATTAAAACCTGGCCAAAAAAGACTGACAAGGCCCAGGCTCTCATCAAAGAGTTACGATGCTATTATAGTGATTTTACAATTTATGGTGTTCCAATAAGCAAAAGCTCTGCAAACATATGTACTGCATGAAAAAAAAAGACTGATAAACTTCAGCAATAACAAACTAATCAAAATATAATTGACAAAAGTCCATAATGAACAGAAGATACCTATTAAAAGCAATGCTGCATGTGATTATCAAAAGTTGAACAAATTGGGTTTTGCATGGTATTACTGTCACTATTATTCTCTTGGTCCTGGAGAGCAGCAGATCACCACTGGTAATGCATAATTAGTTGAGACAAAGACTTTAAGCCAGAGCTAATAAATTAAGGGGGGGAATCAAGGGAACCTATTCATTGAAGACAGGAATTAAAACCAGATGACACACCAGCCCTCCTGAACCAGGAGTGAATATTAGTGAAATCACTATGTGATTTGTTTAAATGGTATTTTTATCAGGAAGTGAAAGTTTCAGTTGTGCTGAGAAAAAATAATACTTAATTGTTTAATTTAGTCTTGTTGGAGTTATTGAAATAAGATTTCTGAAAGCTTCTTCATCAATAAACATTTACTGTTTTTCCTGGAAAACTGTCTGTCAATTATAATGCAATTGTTCAACATTTATATATTTTGAGGTCACATGCAATGTTATTTACACTTGAAATAATGAGTAGATAGTTGTTTCCCCCCTGTTTGGGTAAGATAGTTTTACCCTGTATCTCTTTGAGGTAAAATACAAGCTCATATCACATAACTTCAGAAAATGCTGGTTGTTCTGTGTTTGGTATTTGAGCAGATAAAGAATCTGCAGTAAAAGTCATTTAAAGGAGCATTTAATTGATGCCAAGAACACTTAAAGACATTTGTCTTGCCTTCTCAGAGTAATTTAAAAGCAACCAGAAGGTTTTTTGTGATTGAAGGCAGTCTGTCTTTGAACAAAAAAAAGCTCACTGTACCAGGGAAACCAGGAAATTGGCTTTGTAAGGGACATGCACCGTCCTGGAAGAAAGTGCATGACCACACTGGCCCAGAAGCATCATGTTTGTCTGATTCATCTGCCTAAATGTTTTCAGACTGCAGTATGTACAGCAAAAGAAACTCCACAAAGAAATAACCTTCCATACGGACAGCGACAGCTTGCCATTTGCATGACTGGAGGGCATTCAGTGGTAACATGGGCCAGAGAACATTAGAGGCAACAGCAGACTCGCACCGTTTAGTTCACCACTGAATTACATTCTGTTTACGGAAGAACTGACGGACATCAATATGTGTAGAATCTCCACGGTGAGAGATATGTTGACTGTTGCACCAGATAAACCAACTGGTGGGGCTTTGAAAGCATAATGAGGAGGAATGACTTTAAATACAAGAATGCCCTTAGAGCAGATTGAGGCCAACCTACTGTTCAGTGACAAACTAACAATTCCCCATGCCTTTTAATTTCTTACAAACAAATCTGGAAGTGTCCATTTTCCAGAAAGACAAAGCAAAATCGCACAGCACTAGGATCATTAAGAAAAAATGCACAGTGGTCAGTTCTGCCTCCTGACCAGCTAACCTTCACCTTTTAGCTGCTGCTGCACGGGAAGAGTGGAAGAATATCCCATAGCAAAGCAATTTGTCTCTAAAGGTCAGGTCCACGCATCAGAACTGGCAGGACTGTTGTTGTTGCTCAGGAAAATTATACTCCAAAACTAACTTGTGACAATATGCCACATTTCATAATGAAAACTAATTTCTACTCTTTGACCTCTATTTGTTGTTTTCATATATACCGTATTTCTAGAATCCCTTAGACCTGGTCGGTGCATTTCTTGTATATTTTAAATATACAGCAACACATCTGTTTGTGTAAGTGTCAGAGCAATATTTTTAGCTTCACTTTTGGTCCGTGCTGATACGACTGTTGGGATTGGGATCACGTTCCAGAAGACTTGCTGAAAGACTTGACGCCAGGGAGCAGTTGTGGAAAGCAAGAGGATGGGATAAAATGCAGAGGAAATGCAGTACCCCCTGAAAACCCGATATACCCAGTTTTGGTCGTCACACATCAGTGAAGAGCATTCATCAAGGACAGCTGATTTATGCTTTCATTTACAGCACAGAAAACCACCACAGTCAATATGAAGAGGGAGAGAAAGATTTAGACAATGACAAAAGTTTAAGGAAATCTTCAATGTTTCATAAAGATAGAACTGTGAATACTCTTATATTTAAGTCTGCTAATCGTGGCTCACTTCTTTATAACATTAAACTGAATTTAGAGTGATACAGTTGCATATGCTATATTGTTTCCTATTAGATAATCACTTTGTCCTTTCCCAGGTCTCTCTGCAGAAGATGTTGTAGATTTTTCTTGTCACAACAGAATATAATTAAGACATAACCAGCATAGTTTAGAAATCCTTGCGGACAAACCGTAAAGGTTCAACTGCATGTTTAGGAAATGCCAAGAAAGCTGGCTCAGACATTGTCTCACCACAGAGTGCAAGGACAGCACACACTTTGTGGTGCACACTTTTCAGACCAATCTGTGATCGGAGACCATTGTTAAATGGCAAGCTGAAAACAGCCTGGACGATAAAGGCCAAATTTATTTTTTTGATGTAGGGGCATTGCGGAACTTTCTCACTAAGACCAAAAATCACTCACATCAAAATTAAAATGAAGCACACAATGAACCATATACACTCTTATGCAAACCTTGCACCAAACATCTAATATTCAATTTTCAGTGGGATATGGTAGGGATATAGGCATTACAAATTCAAATAGAAATTTCCAGCATCTTTTAAACCCCCTAGGAAAAAATGTAAATTGAGAAAAATGAAAGAGCCCTTTTTGTTTCACCTGAAATCCTACAGGTTTTACCTGTACAGGAGCAACAACTGTCGTTTCTTCAGCCTGTACAGCCTCTGAACCTCCGTTCTGAGCGACTTCATCACTTTTCTCTGTGTCATTCGAAAGGTTCTTCCACTCTAAGGAAAAAAATATTGTACACAATTTTTAAAACCTCAATGCGTCGCACCAAACTGAATTAGCATGTGATGACTGATTAGACTGTTGAGTCACATTCCACAATGAATATCAATTAGTTGTGACAACACCTCATTCTGAACAAGAGCATCCTACATAGGTATTTGGAATAAAGTAAGTGTGAATAAGCTCATAGCTCATGCAGACACCATATTCAGGAGACTTGTTTGGTTTGCTCTTAAATCTGAATTTTGTCTAACAATGTTTACTTCGCTTTCGTATTAAACGAAAGAGCGAATCAGAGTGGTACTGCTTTGTATTTAAATAGCACTCCATGTTTCTTAAAACTTAAAGGACAATATAAGGCTTCAGCTGAGTGGTTAACTAGAACAGAATTTTTTGAACAGACTGATCCAAGCTCCAGAGTTTAATGTTCATGTCTCTACAGTAACATCTCATTTCAAAAAAACTTTCATGGTTAAAAAAGCTGATTCGGCCAGCACATCCCAATGCCTGGAATTCTGCAAGAGGGATACGGCACCATTCCCCAATGAGAGAGCTAATTAACTCACACTGGGAACATCCACTAAATGCAGGATTAGGTTCAAATTTGGTGACTGAGAAAGCCAAAATGTATAGATAACATCAATGTCATGTTTATCAATCCATTGGGTGACCACGCATGCTTTGCAGCTGTGGACATTGTCATCCCAGGAGACACTCTTAACAGGAAAGAAATTCCACTTTGTGGAGTTCTCAGTAGACTGTATCTGCTGAAAATGGATGCTCGTACCCCAGGTCGAAATTCACTGTTAACCGATCTGCAGTGAACTGTTTGCTTTGAATTTAATGCACAGGTATCACTATCCTGGACTATCTGAATCTGCTTCCACTTGTGATGTCTTTCCCTCTGATTTCTATGCTGATATCACCTTAAAGTTGATTACTGATTAAAGTTGCCACTGACACTCCTGCCAAAAGAACACCAACAATCGCCCCTTTTTCCAAAGTCACTGATGTCTCTTCTTGGAGCCATAATTATGGGACACCATGTCTGTATAAACAACCCTAAGCATGCTGAGATGTTATTTGCTTAATTAAGACATGATCAACTCCTGTGTGGAGGCTTTTGCTTTTTATATACTTGGTATTTCACATTTATCAAATTTTTGTTAACTATCTTTTCATATATTACGTGGAAGAGGTTGCCACTTGAAGATCTTTTCACACTGGTACAACCCATTACTAAATATGCGAGTTGTTCACTTAAAAACCTGCAGAACAGCATCTGGAACAACCGAGTTTAACCATAAGCTCGGCTTCCTGTTTTTCAAAGCACTGAATGTACTGTAGAGATCGCCTTTCAAGGTGTTAAGGTTTTTCAAACATACTTTTCGTGTTGAACCATGAAAATCAGGTGACTAAAAATTCAAGTGAATTTGAATCAGCCAACCCCATGGATACATTTAATGAAAAGTTACATATGCAAGCAAGTCTCTACTTGGATTCAGGATGTCAAATTCAGGTGTTCAAACTTCAGAACTGTCCAAAAGTTTAGATTGAGAATATTATATCCGAATAAAGCAAATCATAAAGTCATTTTTTGTATTATATACATACACTAGATAATGCTATTGCATTCTACGAATACTAATACTACATATTAAGATCAAGTTAAAACTGAGAATTTTGATAAGACTATACATAGCTACAAAAAATTAACAACTACAGAAAATTACCGATGCTTGGCCTGGTCAACCTCAATCATTTTAATAAACACTGAACACAATTATGCAGTCAGTATCTCAACCATACACAATACCAATAAAAAGAAGGAACAGAAGAAGGAAAATTGTAATGATTTATAAGGCTAACAATTTAAAATATGGCATTGGATTTCTGATAGATTTTATGAGAATGCATCTACACGTTAGACGCAGCTGGACAAATATGAAGATGTTAGACTATGTTGATGAAATTGCTAGTTTAATAATGATAAAAACTTTATTCCAGAACAACTATACAACTTGAATATAGTAACTTCACTGGCGATATGTTCCTCAAAAGATGTTAGTTATCTATAGGGACAGGAAACAGACAGGACTAAAGGATGCCAAGGACAGGGTCAGCATTTTTGATTAGCACATGTCAATTAATGAAATTGGTTTTGCAAGGTTGGTTTGCTTCTGGACAACAGTTTTGTACACCCAGCTGCAGATCTGCTTGCAAAGGATTAAGTGCATCTCCCACTCAATATAACATCATTGATACAACCTACAGGGCAAGGAACACTGTGTTCATAGATGAGAACATGATTTTACTGGTATATGCTCAGCCAATAGCATCTGGGCACACTATGTTGCCACAAGGAATTCAGCCATAAGGATGCTGTTTGGAGAGCAACATGCACGGAACATAGCAGAAACAGATACACTGTGAATGGAGAAGAATTGGCTTTAGCCTTCAACAAACTTAAATGATGACTTCACAGGCTTCCAGGTAAGCTTCATGACACTAGTGATGTGACAAATATTTGGCATAGAAAAATAGGGCAATTTTAAACATTGACAATGCTGGATTGTCTTTTGCACTGGTTGAATGAGACGATGCACCTACCACCCGCTCTCCCACCCACATGTAATACATAAAATATATCTGGATACACAATAAGTATACCGTACGTACAATGAAATGTATTAACTACAAAAATGTTTATGATTGGTGGTGCCTTATGTTACATCTGATATTTATGGAATACACAGTTGCAGTAAAATCCTAATGAATCCAGATTTTAGATCCTTTAACAATTATGTATTTTTCTTAATTTGGCCAGTACAATAGGGGGTGGACATTTCTTAATACTTAATAATACTAAGTAATATTTTGGGACAGTAGATCTGACTACTGCTATACACATAGATCACTGAATAATAATTATAATAATCTCAAAGTGCTTTAATTGAAGATTACACAGATTAATGCATTTCCCCTCAAAACAATCAGGTAATGTCTGCCTCAATATATTGGAAAAGAGGAGAATGGCTGTGCTATTTGGCAAAGAATTTTAAAACCTGTACACCACCTAAAATAATCAATGTCAAGTTCTAGAACTTGAAGTAATTTTTCACATGAATTTAAATGACATACGAAAACAATTTGCTTTAACTTCTGTTTAAATATTTCACATGAACTAAAATATATAGGAAGAAAGGCAAGATAATGATTAACTGCTGTGGACTGTGCATTCTGGAAATAAACTATAATAAACTATAGTGAGGTATTACCTGGACACAGCGTCTCTGTGTCTAAAATGCCTCCTTCACGGAAGCTGTCCAGGTCTTCAAGCTTCACTTTGTTCCAGGGGATGTAGGTCACCCCCAGGTCCACATCCCAATACTGCTTGTACTCAGGTTTGATTCCTTTGTTTAATGCCCATGCAATCTTAAAAAGGAAAGAAAACCTTTCCAGCATTACAAGCATCTGGTGAAAAGAATGTATGGCCTAAAACATCCTTTGAGTGCGTTTCTGTTCTTAACAATAAGAATAAATATAATACTTAGATCACTCAGAATGTTGGGAGTTTTCACAATAGTTCTCACCCACTTGCTTTGCATAAAAAAATAACATGGCCAGTTCATGAAAAGGTTGCAAATGTTAACATAGCAGAGATTTCATGCAATCCATTGTATATTTTTTTCAGATGTTAATTCATACACAAGGAATTTCACAGTAATACTGGAGATAGTTTTTTCTCTCTCTGTTTTTAGGAATAAAATCTTGCAAGTGGAACAAAAATGAAAGTTTTGCATTGTTCAAATGTATGTCAAATGATTGAAAAAAATGTCTAGATTGTATGGATTTAGAGCACTCGCTAAATAGCTTTTTAGCAAACTGTTGTCATGTTATTTAATAAATGTGATTAAACCTCAGCCCCTGCCAATGCAACAATTTCTTACTCAATTATCCTTAAGGGTTCAATCAAACACAACACAACTAAGAATCCTTAATCTGCAGATTAAGAAAAAATATTTGACATACTAAACCATGAAAATAGACAATGTGTGAAATATTTTATAAGAATTAGGGTACACTCCAATTCCCTAGTTCAACAATTATGAAATACCTGTTTTAAGACAGAATGGTCTAAAATGTAACTCTGCAATGCCAACATCCTAGTGTATAGTGACTTTGTTGGTGTTTCCTTAATCTTTTAATCTCTAATCCAGCCATAGTAAAAACAAAAGTAGCTGGACAGAACAGAGCCTTGTGTGAAGAATACACCAAAATACATGTAATTATACACCTACTGTTTTAAATGTGTAAATAGGCGTTTTTGTTAGACATGAGTTACAGGTACTATATTGAAAAACACTGCTCTGTTACTGGCCAATGTCTCATACATTATGTCAGCCTCAATAAGAAGAAATGACAAGTCCTTCTTACAAACACTGCAGGTGTTAAGACTATCAACGGTATGCAGACATTATATTAAACCTCCATCTCAAGCTCACTCTACAGCACAAAAATAAATTTGTACAAAAATGTAAAAATGTTTTTTATGCTGCTCATTATATATCTGTTCCTTGAACTTGCTTTATAATAGGTTTTCAATTGCCATATCATTGCATTAATTATGCATATCTACATCAACAGTCCCACATAACTTCCAAGTTCTGATTTATCTATAACACATTATGCTGTGTAAGTTCCATCACAATGTATTTGATTAACTACAGAACAGTTAAAGTTTATGCACTCCAGTTAGCTAACTTGTACATATTGATAAGTACCTCTGAATGGTGGTACTATGAAAGGCAATGTCATGCAAAAGTAAAGATTACCTTGCAACTCTCAAAGCAGGAAAAAAATATCAATGCTGTACCTTTATAGCCTTTTGGTTTACTTTGTAAGACCCTCGGCTTAGCTTGTGTAAGGCTCGGAAGGCATCCTGTCTGTGAACCATCACAATATACGCACAGCCTCTGGGTGGGATCATCTGAAACCAGAAGAATAAGGCAGCAAATGGGTACAAGAATAAAATTCAGACACCATATAACACCTCAAATTAAATGATGGCAAGCAGCATATAAAAAAATAGAATTCCATCTTTTATGTTTATTACTCAGCCCAACAAAATGAAACCATTATAAACTCATACAATTTAAATGAATGTCGCACAAATGAGTATGAAGGTAATGATGTCATAAAAGGTTACAAAACTAATTTCTGATAAGTCAGCTCCCAAGGTTTGCTCCCAAAGTTAGACATGGGCCAGACAGAGAATCCAATCTTGTCTTATAACTACACAGAGTGGATTTGCCAAAGCCCACCCAGCAAAGAAAAATAGTTACAACTTGGGGATTAACTGATTTCATGCCTTTCCTTTTGCATTATGTACTTACTGAACAACCTCAAAATGGTGATCATTACTTAGTTACACTAGAAAAGGGTTTAGCTCAACTGTAAACTTATTCACAGCATCAAGAGCTGCTGTGAAGAGCTCTACCTTTAAGTTCCACAGCTTCCACCCAAGTCTGTACTTACATTAATAGACTCAATCTGCCCAAACTCCTCCAGGAGGCTTGCCACATCCTGCTGCTGCGTTCTTTTGTCCAGCTGACCTACCCAGAGAGTCGTGCTACAAACTAGAACATGCAAAGACAAACTCAGAACGGCAAAAATTCACAACTGTCACTCAGAGAGGTTGACAGTATGTACATGTGCAGAGCTGGTTAATGAATGGCTAGGCAGATGCATGCGTACCACTGAGAGTCTCGCTCTTGATGTGCGGCAGTCCCTTCTGCCTCCTCTCCCTCTCCTTTTCCCTCTCTCGCCTCTCCTGCGACCGGGAGCGCGGTGAATGCCTGCGGCGATCTCGGGAGCGAGATCGAGACCTCCTGTGCCGTGATCTCCGGGAGCGGGAATTAGACCGAGATCTCCTCCTTTTGGGAGATCTGTTCACCACAGGTAAAGAAGTAAGCTATGTTAAGTTTTATCTTAACAAGAATACTTAATTCCACCCTTTTGACTTATGTGGTATCATTAGTTAAGCTACAAAACAAGCTTTCCTAGAAATTCTTTATTCTTTTGCATTAGACTCTCAATTTAACCGATTAATAGGAAAAATGGGGTGTCTGTCAAATCGCATGGTGGGTTGTCCATTAAATTACAAATGATGTTTTTTCAGCCCAAACTTATTATTTGAGAAAAAAAGCTCTATTTCATGTCATCAATACATTGTATCAAATTTGCTAAAACATACATAACGAACAACACCCTTATAAGGCACCATTAACATTCCTGAATTTTAAAACTAAGTAGTATTTATCTTTACTTGTTTTAGTTATGTATTGCTGAAAGGCCTGGTGTTTCTGATTTTACAGGCAAAATTCCCCTTAAGCAGATTCTGCTCATTAAACCGAGGGTTTACTGTACTAAATTTGAAAGAAGGCATTGCCAACCTGGAAGCAGACTTAGACCTTGATTTCCTCCCTTCTGAACGATGTTTTCCTTCCTTCATTACTGGTGGATCTATTTCCATTGATACTTCCTAATATAAGAGGGGGGGATAAAATATGTTCTTGATTTGAGACCATCTTAATTGTTAACGGCAGCAAATAGTCAGCAGGCAGTCCTGATATAATTTGAGATTAATGTCATAATTCACAGCATTTTTTCTAGTTTTATATTAGAACAAATCCTTGCATTCCTGTTCTGTTCATTTTACAACTGTACAAATGACTAAAATGACTTATTATCCTTTTCTAATTAAACAAGTAAGTAATTGTTAGCATAATATAATAATAAAAATAATGTTTTATAATAATAAAAACACAAATGTGCACATTTTAAAATAGTTGATGTCATTCACAATGGGCATTCAACTGCCACTGATAAACCTGTTCAACGCAAAATTCTTCAATTCTGAAATCTCTGGTAATCTCAGGCAAACACTGGTGACATTCAACCAAACTGTAGAGCGCACAGTTCTCAACAGAGGATTTATCGACTGTCTTTAGTAATTTGTGTAATTCCTCAGTCTGACAGCTATTTTTAGGCCATTTTGCTATGGTGAGAAAAGACTGCTTTAGTGTCAGCATTGGAAACAGTGCTGCACAGTGACTCTATAGCTGCTGCAATACAAACACCAGTAGCAACACCAGATATATCTGAGACTGTGATGTTGTATGAGTAGAGACGCTCTTTTTGGGGACAAGCCACTAAAGACACTAAGTACAAAGCCCCCCAAAAGCTATTTTAGTACTTCTTTTCCCGAAGTTAAGATGCAATGTCAAATTTTGATCGCCAAAACAATGAACAAATAAAAGCATAGCACTGAAAAGAATAACAAGCTGGGCAGTACCATTGCCAATGTGCCAATTCATTATATTTACAAATGCATGGAAAACTATAATTCTTTAACAGTACTTTGATTTTGTAAGTATCGAATAATGAACTAAGATTTATTAAAACAGACACTGCTGACAAAAGTTCACAATTTGTGATTAGACCATGAAATGTTTTCCAGGATCCATAATGACTTCTTATTTAATCCACAAATACACAATCTAGGCCTAATCCATAACCTGAAAAAACTAAAGTCTGTACTTGTTGCTGCTGTGCCATCTGCTGTGAATAAGCCTCGTTCTGGGGTGGATATCCCGAAGGAAACACTGAAGGGACCGCGGGAGTCTGCTGAGGCAAAACAGGCTGGGCCATCTGCTGAACCATGGCTGGGAAGGGCTGGGTGGGCATGAGACCGTATCCTTGAAGCTGTCCATTTGGAGGAAGCGTTACCTGGAAGGGAAGGGCATTTCTATCAAGACTAAATCAAGAAAGAACTTCTCATTGCATTCATATACTCTGAAAAAGACACACGGATACCTGGAAACGTAACAGATGGAAATGTACTGCAAAAAGGGCAAGCAACTTCACATTGCTGATCAGTCTTATAAAGCCTATATAATGGGCCAGTGAAAACACTGTACCAGCTGCACTTGTTTAAGCAGGAGCATCCATTTCATGATTTTTTTATATAAAACATTATATAAAAATGACCTAAATATACAAAAATGCAGACATAGCACAGGATATCAACACTCATAAAAATTGGAGAGGTTAATGTTACCATTTAACATTTTCCACAACAGTGCTCAGTAGCTCTTTAATCCAGTTGTCTTTCATACCTGATGTTGCTGTTCTTGTGCCATTCCTAATAAGCGCTGCTGAAAGTGTTCCATGTTAGGAATTTGTGTAGGAAGCTGCGGATATACTGGCTGCTGGATATTTTCCGGAAATACACTGTGTAAAACAAATTATGGAAGAATTGGTCTTCACAGATTTGACATTTGACAGATGTCCAAGCTCTTTGCTTCAACTTAAGACAGTGAAACATTTTCCTATGAGATTCATTCATTTTTGTAAGTCAATAATGTATGATAAATTAAGATGTTGTTACATGACTTTTTTCAAAACAATCCTTTTAAGTCGCAAACAGAAAAGATAACTGGATCTTATCCAAGTCTTCAAAACCCTCAAAGGCATGGACAATGTCAATAGATTTTCTCAGAAACAAAAATGAAGCTTGAACAAGAGGGCAAAAAAAGTAACTTCAAACTGACATCAGGAGACATTTATCCACATAGAAGCTTTCCAATGCGTGTACCAAGATAACCAGCAATGTTGCTCAAGCACATATATTGGATTTTCTCATGAAACATCTGGATTATATTCTGAAACCAATGAACCAAATTAACTAGATGGGTCAATCTGACCCACTTCTTATGTCAGAGACCAATCTAATGTTCATTCGCAATTTATAAAGGAATTTATTTTTAAAAACCTACACAATAATTAGCTACAAACAAGTGAATCTACTCATCATTTGCGTTAAAGGACTATAGTACAGAATGAGCAGAACTTAATCTGCGACATGACTTACAAAGGCTGTGACGCAGAAGTTGTTTCTTCCTTTTTAGCATCTTCTCCTCCTTCTGACTCATCATCATAATCAAAGCGATCAAGCAGAGTCTGTGAACAAACCCCCATCATATCTGTCATTGTCAGAGCAATGTTTGTAGTAGAGCAACAAGTAGTAGACCCTAGATCTAAATACAAAACACTGAAACACAAAAGCATGGTCTCATGTAAGAAAAATCCTGTATTCTACTCATGAGCCTTGCACAGCTACAACTATGGACAAACAAACCATCCAAATTACAGCTGATCACATAACAGTCTGTACATCCCGTTTCACATTTTAAATGACTTAGGGAATATTTAAAGCCTATATTAGAAGGGAATAACCTGCAAAAGAACTTAGATGTAAAGCACAGCAAGATAAGCACGTAAAACAGTCACCTTGTCAAAGGTTGCTTTCTGCTCTGCGGGCTGGGCGGCCGGAAGGCTGCGCTGGACAGCTGCAGGCTGGATCTGGGCCAGCAGGTTGTTCTCGGGAGCAGGGGACTGTGGCTTTGCCGGCTGCTGGAAGGTCTGCAGGATTTGCTGAAGCTGGAAAATCACAGAGGGCACGTTTACAAATCTTCAATACCAGCTTCCATTCATTTTCTAACCACTTCTTCCAATTCGGGGTCGCAGGGGAGCCAGAGCACATCTTGGCAAGCCATGGGTGCAAAGCAGGGTGCATACAGACACACTCACATCAGGGCCTGTTTCCTTAAAAGCTAATTAACCTACCAGTATTTATTTGGGCTGTGAGGGGGGACCCCATGTGAGCACAGGGAGAACATACAAACTCCACACAGATGGCATCCCAGGTCCAGGACTGAACCCAGAGCCCCAGAACTGCCAGGCAGCAATGCTAATCACTGCAACACAGTGCTGTCCTTAAGGTGCTTTAAACTGAGACAAATTTAAAAAGTCCTGCAAATGATAAAGCTCCACATTGATATTTTCAAAGGGTTACGCTTTGTAAAGTCATAAAAGCCTGGTTTTGTTTCCAAGCATGTACAACTAACCAGTGGTCCCTAGATCGTCCCTTTTTTAATTATAAACAAAAAAAAAATGCCTTCTAACCATGGAATGTTATTTATAGTATCACAGTTCTGATTACTGTAAATTACACCTTTTCTTATTGAATATAATATTGTGAGGATGACTCATTCATCCGTTGCTGAAAACAAATGCCTAACCATTTAAAAAATAAATCAAACTGTAGGATGAGTTAAAGGGGCTCTGGGATTAGTGATCAACTATCAACTGTAACCTCTTCTTCAGAACCAGATGAGGAAAAACTAAGCAAATGAGATGTGAAGTAAAAAGCACATTGCCTTTTGAGGTATTTAACAGATTTTAACTGAGAAAGCAAGCAACAAAATTAAAACAAAGTATCTCAAGTGCCAATAAGTGTAAACGGAACACCTGAAAAGTTAAATATGTATAAACCCACCCCACATAATTCCAAAAAAACATTTTAAAAACATTCAGTCTCTTTATATTGATTTTCTTTATTGCAGAGATGTAACCGTGTTGAAGTTGACTCTGGGTGTTATTTCTTAGCACCACTGAGTAACATTGTGATGTAACTATACTGCTAATTTGTCATAACAGCATAAATTCTTCTTTAATTTAAGCTCCTTACAACAGCTTGAAATGAATGATTCACACGTCACGGCACACTAGTCTAGCAATATCTGATCCAGCAGTTTTTCTAATGTAGCTGTGGCCAATGAATGTACCACTATACTGTCTAAAAACTGTGACTGGCAAATCTTTTAGGGGTAATATCAGTTAACATGCAAATGCACTTTTCATAATATGGTAGAAGTTACTAATACTATTTTATTCATACAATTTCAACAATCTCAGGGTAAACTACATAAAACTGAAATGCAGCTCCCACTAAATGACAAGCAAGAACATTTCCAAACCAGCAATACTCACTGCTCAGCAGATAAGGTGAAGAACTGAGAAATTACCTTACTAAATTAGGACAGAATTTTAGGATGGCCATATTGTTTAAAACCAAAGTAGAATTTAGCCAGGACAATGGAACTAACACCCCTAGTTCTTTGGAATCTGCAAGATGTCAGGACCTAGGCTTAAGTTCTCATCCAAACCACAACACCTCTTACCACACCAGTGTCCCCAGTCACCAAAATGGTGAACTGACTTTTAAAACAGTGGTCTAGAAAAGAGTGCCATCTACTGGCCAATCGAAAAATATGATAGTAGGTAATTTTAATAAGCAAATCTTTCAAATCTTTTTTTACAATTAAATCTCATTATAATGAACTGTTTTTTAACATGGAAGAAAATTATATCTTGTACTTTACTAGGACAAACTGATTCCATGACATTTTCAACCACAACATGGAAAAGCAAATTATCAGCCTACGTCTGACTCTATATTCAAAGAATTTTACACAAATAAGGGATAACTATCTTACAGGGGCCTCTGTAAACTATGAACTACTTTTTTGTGAACACATGACCTTTTTTAGTAACCTATTAGTGATAAGATACTTACCTAGGCTTCTTTGTAGGATGTCAATCATTTAAGTAGCAGTTTGTCATTCGAAATTACTAACAGTGATTACAGGTAACTGCTAAAATAACTGACCAAATTTGGTATTACCAGTATCCTAAGGGAATAAGTCAAAATAGAAAACTGTAAATTTAAATTTATAAATTTATGACACCTTTTAAAACATAAACATACATTTTGCTTTTCACACCACCTCAATAAAATCACCAAGATGCAACTACGATGCCAGTAAATAAAGTTTGACCCCGCAATCATATTCGACTTGATTTGGTGCACATTTTTACTTTTTGTGAACTCAGAAGACAAAAGTTTGTTCCCCTCACCTGCTGCCCCTGTGTGGACTGAAACAGCTGAGCTACAGCAGCGAAAGCATCCGAGTTCTGCAGCTGAGGGACGGCGGCAACTATCGAGTTGGCAGTGACAGCGGCAGGGACAGGGGGCTCAGCAGAGGTCTTGCCAGGACTGGAGGGGGAACCTACTGTGAAAGAGAAGCACGTGCAGAACGCATCAGTCCAAATCCACCTCAATGCCGGTCACGTATCACAGTTTTTGGTTGAAGCATGTTGTTCTCATAATTAAAACATCTCATAACTCTTCATGGGACAACACTGATTCAATGACGGGAAACAAAAAAAGTGAAGTTCACTTCATTTTTAAACCTCGGTGATCTCAGAACAGACACCTGACATATAAGCACCATCTTGAAACATAGCAGCTAAGTGAATCCCGAATTACCCACTCAGATAAGCGGAGCACATAGACGATTTAGTGAACCACTTAACAACATACTAAACGCATAAATAGAATAAACACATAAAGGCAGGTTTATGAATACACTCCCTGCTGCAAACGATTCCTTGGAGGGCCCTATGTGTTCTTCAGAAGAACACATGATATTATTTTTATGTGCGGGACTTAAAATGGCCATGTTTGTGGAAGCAGCTACAGTGTACTATTTGAGAACACCATATAGCAACCTATTTCAAACAATTAGCACCAATGTATTCCTAGGCTAGCATTTCCTGAATTCTTAATTTGCCTACAACTTTTGATTGAAGTAGCTAGCAGTACATTTTCAAACTACTGGCAAAACTCAAAACAGTTGCAGGTTTACTTTCACATTTCCGCTACAAAGAGCAACAAAATGTCAGATGCAAGTGCAGACAGATGGTCTGTAACATTTGAATCCAGTCTCTTGAGTAAAAGAGTTTCCAAGAATTCTAACCAAATAGAAGGAACTACCCCACCCACAATCAAGAGCTATTACTAATCTAGCATGCTGGAAGAAGCTGGAAAAGGACTTATGTTTGGTAAAGAAACACATAATAAAAACACTGCAAGTGCCTCCTTTGTAGAACTTCTACAAAAGCTGCACAACCAAAGTCCCTGACCTTCAATGTATCTCAAACTTTATAACAGTGGCCAGGGCCAGCGTGGGACAAACCTGCATCAGCAGTATCGTTCTCTGTGTCAGGCGCTGTGGTACTGCTGCTGGCTCCGGCTGCCATGTCCAGCAAAGGCTGGATGATTTCAATCTTGAATACACCGTTCTTCTGCCAGAGGTTCAACACGCGCACAATTTTACTCTACAAAAAAGAAAATGACTCGCAATCACTCGTTCCAAAGATTTATTGAAAATCCTGTAGCATTTCATCTGCTATAATCACATTGCTTTCATTGAAGATAACGTAAAGACATGAGAATTCACTGTTCTTAACTCCAGGTTCAAAAACAGCAAAACCAAAGCACTGCACGAAGATTAAAAGCATTATAACATTGCACCACTGCCATGTTCCCTAAAACTTTGTAAAAACCTGAATCAGGAAATGCTTCATGTGGCTTGAAAAACTAGCACATGACCAGCCTACTGAGCCACAGCGTGTAATTTTGTGGTTAAAAACCTTTATAGATTGCAATCTAACCAAAATCCAGGTACCCAGGGTCTTCAAGAAGTGGGTGACATAATGATGACAAGAACTGCTTGTGCCAACACCCCTTACAAAGGAAGAGAGCTACTTCATCCACCACTGAAATGCAGCCCCCACTTGGGTGACAAGCAGCAGGCCTTTTATGTTAGCAACACCCTTCCAAAGCAAATCAGGTAGACATGAGAAACTACTTCACCCATGGAAAGTCAGACTGAGTAAGTATGAAGTACACCAGATTTAACACCGCTACAGTCACTTGGGAAGCTCAAGGAGTCTAGACCTAGTTTTGACACCTACTCTTATGAAGTGTGCCTCAAGATCTTCGCAATGACATGATATATTGTTGCTTTAAAGGCTACTTTAATGCAGAGCATACCAATTCTATTTGCAAAGGAAATAAAATATTCACTATAGCATATTTGTTGATTCACATTTTTAATGACAGTAGCATCTTAGTTTGCAAACAAACAGGTTGATATTCCCGGTAGCATTTCTACAGAAGGTGATGTTTACAGCAGTAAACAAAAATAAATGCAAAAACACCTCAATGACTAGTAATAAGTCTCAAACCCCTGTGACATTTACAACAAAAACTAGTGGCTCAACAACCTTTTCCCTATTCTGTATCCTGAATATGAATTACCTTATCTTCAGTTGGACATAGATAGAGGTTTTGGAATGTTCCAGTGATGTTTTTTGTGAATCTGGGCCCAAAAACATCCTTATCTGGTCCAAACTGATGCCGTGACTGACGAACAATAGAATCAACAACATAGAGTCCCGGGACCTTGTATTCTGGTTTACACTGCAAGGCAAGAGAATGACCATTAAATACTACAATTTCATGTAGCAAGAACTTGTTTCAAAGCAGTTCTCACTCATTCAGAAAAAAAGCAGAATAATATCAAACACTGACATACTTTCAGCTGTCCCCTGAACCATTCACTGTTGCTCATACAGTGGAAACAAAAGGGTGGAAATCAAAAGGCTCTTAAATTCAGCCGCTCTAAGCTAATGTTCTTTTCACAAAGTAATTGATAATGGTCATTTTAAAATTCTTGAAAGAGCTCCCTTACAGAAAGGTACACTTTAAGGGTTGAGTATGGCAAGAACTCTCACGATATATGCAATGTGGCAACACCACCAGAGTTCAAATGTGCATTTCTGTTATCTTACCTTTTTGATGAACTTCTCTACAATCTGGACAACATGCTTGTATAACTAAAAAATAATAAAGATTAATGAATAATACTTTCTTCATCATCATCATCACATTAGATTTACAGCAATATAAGGCTTTTAATTATGTATCTGGAAGGGGTGGGCCAAGTGTGTTGATACACATTACCATTTGTTGTCTTTCCAAATAAATCACGATAAATTATGATTTAGTAGGAATTTAAGTTCACAACTTAAAATAAAAGGACAAAGTTGGGTTTCAAAAATTTTAAAAGGTAACATTTCTAGCATCTCAAAGGATATTCATGTAACATTTAGGTGGTCTTAGAGAGATGATTTTTCTAAAAAGTCAAATCTGCTAGAATCTGCTAGAAAATAATCTTTAAACTAGATTTTTCAGTTTTTATCTTTTTAACTTGTCAAAGCCCCATGGTGAAATGGTAAACATACTTCTAAGCAAAACATTAGTCTCACCTTAATAGCTTTAATTGCCGATTTGGTAATGGAGATCATCTTTGCACGAGATATTGGAGGCTTCATGTCCAACAAGGAGAATAACTGTGAAGGAGAAAGGAAAATGTTTAAAACAAGTTCTTGAGTTAATAGGTATGGTCAGTATTGAGAGGGGAGATGTCAGGCTACTGCTGTCAGCAGTGTTGGTAAACCAGTAGGCAGCGTTCCTTTCTCTCAACTAGTGATAGAAAGACTTATTTCCGGGATGGATCACAACAACCGGAAGCCTATCCTGGAAGTATGAGGTGCAAGTTATGACTCGAGTTTGGATGCAACGCTAGCCTTATGCAGGGTGTACAATGCAAGTAAACTGGACAAGACTGAGAAATCCCACAATCAATGTGAGAAGAACAAGAGACCTTGGGCTGGAATCAAAACTGAAAAATCAGAACCAATGTGCCTTTCACCAAATCTTACTGCTGGCAAGCATGGAGAGTGGTGCCTCAAAGATAAAGAGCAATACAGTCCACATTTTATTCAATAGTGAAGCGACTAATGGATCAGGGGCCACACGCCAACACTTTTGGGGTTATGTGTATCTCTTCAGACTTCAAACTCAGTAACACAAAACCACAACCTCAAATTATACTCATTCAAATTAAATGGTGTCATTAATGTATTTATTAAGTGCAGTTATTAAATACACTCTTGTGGGAAAGCTGATTTCCATTTCATAATTTTCATGTTCATAAAAGTATATAGGCAATTATGTGGTCTTCTGAAATATAACAAAGTTCAGTTGCTGGATTTTGATGTCCAGTGCCAAAAAACAGCTTTTTCCTATTCACTCACATGTGCAGAACTACTTCCAAAGTCATCTACAAAACAGTCAATCCAACACTAAAATTTCTTCTTAGTGACCTGCAAGGGTTTTTGAATAAGCACAAATATTTCCACACTACTATTGCTTTTCAGAATTAGTTTTGGTAACTTTTTTACCACAACAATGCAATCCTTTGGGGTCATGGTTTTTCATTTTTTTTTAAATGGAAACTAATTTCTATACAGTATCTACAGAAGAGGCAAAATACTTAAAGGTTTTTGTGGAAAACTGACATTAGTCATGACTTAAAAGCTTCCTTCTACAGTATATAGTGTAACATTCTCTTCATAAAACTGATAAGGAAGGGTTACTTAAAACATTTCACACAAGGGGGAGTTTAACTTACACACATAAATTGCCTGCCTGACACCACCTAACCTTACTTCAATTAAAAAATTGATTATACAGCACTATTCACACATTTTTAAACAAAATGCAAGAAACAAAATGTCAAAGTTCAATTCACACTCATAAATCTGAGATACCGTGCCTTTAAGTCCCATGATATCAAAAGGTCAATGCTCTTTTGCCGATATAAACTAATCACAACAACCACCACCAAAATACAAGAAAAAACACAATCAGGACAGAAAAGAGAAATCTGCCAATTTATGCTACAGGAAACAATTCTGTATTAAAAGAAAATGTAGCTTTTCAAGGCAGCGATAATGGTGGAGTAATGGTTAGAGCTGTCATCTCACAGCTCCAGGGTCTTGTGCTCAGTTCAAAACTGGTTCTCCTTCTATGCAAAGTTGGCATGTGCTCTGCATCAGATACCTGTTTAGATTTTTTCCTGTTGTTTATTTCCTCCCACCTCCACAAGAAATTCTGTTAATAGGGGTCTCTAAATTATCCCAGCACGTGTATCTGAATCATCTGCACTGCAGAAATGAATGGCTTTCTAATAACAGATGGATATCCATTTATTGTCAAGAGTCTGCATACCCAGATCCTCACCTTGATGTGAAACAGTAAAGTAGGGCTGGGTGATATGACCTCAAATCAGTATCACAATAATTTCACACATTTACCTCGATAATATTCAATTAACGATTTTTTTAAACCCTTGAAAAAATATGATTACATGATATGCTGAAAGATCATGTTTTAAATATGCAAAACTATTAAAGCTGCACACACCTCACCTTATCTCAATGTCTTACAAATAACTTAATGACATAATTAATGGGAAAAACATTAAAATAACTTTTAATGAACATTTTAAAATATAGTACGTAATGGCGTTAGTTAACTCGTTCCATCCGCGTGAATCTTTTGCATATTGAGTGCCATTAATAGATGCTTGTGTTAGAGACAGCTGTTTGGGGGAATCACTTCGCTTGTCAGTCTCTTTTTTGGCCATGCACTCTTCGTATTCCACAACATGCATGTGTTTCAAATGATTAAACAAATTGCTCGTGATACGTTTGGGCGCAGAGTTTACATCTAACTTCTCTTTGTTCAGTATCCTGTTTGCCGAAGCCAAAATATGACCAAATGTTCGACAGTGCATCTTTTTAGAGACGAGCTCGTCTTCATTTGTACTTGAGTCAACCCTGCCTGACTAGGGCTCAACATAAGCACGCCAGGCATGTTGCCTCATGCCTGGCATGCTTTTTTGTGTTTTGAATGAAGAACGAAGGCTGGACAACGCAAGAAGCATGTGACTGGATATGATGACTGGGTGTTGTAGTTTTTTTAAGGGGACCGCTCATGAACGCTCACAGTGGGGAAAGCTTTTACCGAGCATACTGACATAAGCAAAATTTGGTCGGTTAGAGATTCTTAACGTCGGTAACGGTAAATCGTCGGTATATTGCCCAGCCATACAGTATAGAGACATGTTCACATGTATGCAACTCGGTTCAAAGTTTGCAAAATCCACTGAGGTTTCTGTGTTAAGTTCTTCTTGAAAGGCATTCACGGTTTAGTTGTGGTCCTTTTAAGAAAACAGCAACCAATAATATACAACCGCTTTGCATTGACACCTGATGCTGGAAATAAATTTTACATTTCCAATCACATTCATCATATCTGCTCTTAAATACCAAGAAATCTTGGACTGTTTTTTAATGAATCATTGCAAATCTATAACCCATGACAAAACAAAGATTAATTCCAATTAAGGGTCATCACTGAGGTCAAACAATTTTTTAATGTTAAAAAGATTAATACTAAAAGACTGTAAAAAAAAGTAATAAACAGAAACACAACTTAATTATTTGTTGAAAATATAACCAAGTAATAAATGTTAGACTTTAATATGCATAGAGCATGCATTTGATTCCAAACAATAAAAGAAGAGAATAGGCAGTTCTTTAAGTTTTAGATAATGGAAATTAATATTTTCAAGTAGGTAGGCAATTATATGACAATCCCAGTCTTAGTCAGATTCTTTCAACATCTTAAGCCCAGCTTGGTAATGATAAAAATGATTTGAACTTTAAACTGAAAAGCCATTTAGCAGTTAACAGTCAGAATCACTTTCAAAGTTACAAGACATCAGCAGGTTAAAGAGGAACTAGAGGTGTTTAGATAACTACTCAGACAGGATTCCAGGAAAGCTTCCTTATAGTCAGAGGCTGTTTTTGTGATGTGTTCAAGCATCATTCCTTTAGCGCCGTGCAGGCTGGACAGCTTTCTTTTCAGGAAATAAACCAAACAATAAACCAAATAAACCAAACAATAAGCATCACAGAAGAGTTTTATCAACAAATCCCAGTCTCACAAGGTGAAAAAAAGGCAGTGACATCATCTCATGCCTATTAATGCTAGCCTAGAAAAAGATCAAAGGATTAACCAGAATAAATTAAGGGGTTCGAAATGAGTGCAACACGTTCTTCATTCTCGGACCAAAGAGATTACAAGAGAACGGACAAGCCTTCAAAATACTAAGTCGTCAAAATGTATGCGCTGGTATTGTACTGAAGCAACCTGAGTGACATCCCTAACCACTTTTCCATATGGCTGCTGTGATCCTACACAGAGGCTGGGTGAAGGTGTAACTGGAACAAGTTGCCAAGGTACAACTTTGGAGGAAAAAAAGTCTGGTTTACATTAAATGGTAAAGTAAATTGTGGTCTGTCCTGGACTGCTATTTGAGAAAAGTATTGCTTTATATACATCTTAAAAATTGCATCAGCTATACATGAATGCAACCTCTGCATATTATTACATTTAAGCAAGAAATGCATTAAGCACAAAAAATGTTCATAGAATTGTTTACTGTTCTATCAAAATCCTTTCAGTCCCTGAGAACTGTATTTGCAGGAAAACATTTTAATTAGTGCAACCATGGCAGTAACAACAGTAGAAGAGAGAAAAACACCACTATTCTATTCCAAGAGAATAGTACAATGTGACACACAAGAAAAGAAGGGCTTCAAGCTGTCTACAATCACCAGCTCAGCCCATGAATTACAGCATGGAAAACAGAACATTGAGTTTAAGAACAATCCACACTTAGAAGTAACATTAAAATATAAAATACTGTTACAAATGGGAGAGGGGGGGTATGGAAATTGTGAAATTCAAGAATTGGCCGAGCGCTTTAATCAGTAAGTGAAATACTTATTCATAACCCCCAACTTGAAAGTGCTTTTTCCAGAATATACCCGAGCAGTTGGTATAAATGGAAGCAGGTGAATTATATGTTCTCTGGCACAGCTTTGGTGAAAGCAATAATAATCCAGGCACACTTGGTTAAACAAATATTTATAACAATGACAAGATGCAAACTACACCGCACACAACAAAACATACAAGTTACTCTATGTACAGTATTTACAAACAAGGTGTTTCAGAGGCCTAACTTTCTGGACACCCAGAAAACCCCAGACTGCTGCTAAGCATTAAACTCTAAATGCCTACAAAGACGCCACAAAATAAATGGGAGCCTATATCCCTATCCATAAAAATGCACACAATGCAGGAAAGACATTTCAAACTGAGGTATCTTTTACCCAGGAAACTCAAGTTCCCTTAAAAACACAGAATAGATCCCTCTCTCTGGCAAGGTTCAAATACTTAGATCCTGGTTTGGATGACCATGAAGTAGGGGCTCTCGTCTGGCGCAAGCTTCAGGTCACCACTCCTCCAGACTCTTGTTTCTCCTCTTCATCTTCCTCCCTGCTTCTTCTTTCTTCCCTCTTGATCTTATATAGGGTGCGCCTGTACTGCTCCTTGACAATCATTAACCCAAAACTTACCTAGCTATACGAAG